GGTGTGGGGGTTAAATGGCCTTCCCCAAGGGGAGAGAACCATGACAGAAAAGAAAATGGCTGGTAGGAGCCTGGGCAGCTGATCTGTAACAGGTCTGGGTGTCCTGGCTGGCTGTGCACCTGAGTTCCAGCCGCCAGCTGTCCCGCAGTCTGCTTAGAGCAGGGCCTCCACAAGGCAGTTCATGGAGGAGCCCGCCCCAGCATTCCCTGCTCCCTACTTCTCAGTCAGTTTTCCTTCAGGAACTGCCCCTGCGCCCTCCCAATCCATTTCCAGGTGGGGCTCTGTGCTCCCTCCTCTGTCTGCACCACACTGGCTCTTTCCCCTTGGCCAGATTCTGGACCTCATGGGCCACAGACAAGAGGGCCCCTGAGAACCACACCCCCCCTCCCATTCATCCTTAGGGTCAGGAGGAAGAAGTCTGCCACCACTACCCTCTTTGGGCCTCCCTTCCCTATCCTAAGCCTTCCCCACATCCTCACACCAGAACAGCCCAGCCTCTCCCAGGCAACCCCAGCACACCCTCCTTCCCAGGTATAGACACCCCTCCTCCAGGCCCCTTACCCCTGCTGGTCTATCGGGCTGTGCCTGCTCTCTCTCCAGATCTTTCTTCAGGTTGTCTTCCTGCTCACCTGCCTGCCTGTGGCTTGTGGAGCAGAGGATGGGGCGGGGCGATGTGTCCTCCCCCCTGGAATCCCAGGGCACTGTCTCTTCACACGTGTGATCATATGAAATCCTGCTAGCTTCCCTGGAGCAGGCTCTCCTTGGTGTGTCATGGGTGTGTCATAGTGTGTGTGTGTGTGTGTGTGTGTGTGTGTGTGTCTATCTGGCTGCCTTTGATTTGCTGTTCCTCCCTTCGATGCATCCCCATAAAGCGATCTGGCTGATTTTTGCTTCTCTGCTCAGGAGGGAGGCAGGCAGGAACCCTCCCCTTTCACTCACATGGTCAGGTGTGGGCATGGGGTATCAGGCATCACCCAGCTTTCAGAGTAAGGTGGGGGGGAGGATCTTGACCACCTCATCCCTTGTACTCTGACGCCATCTCTCCAGCCTGGTTGCTCCCAAGTGCTGGGACCAGAAGCAGGTGACCTCCGGCTCACGGTGCCCCGCTCCCACAGCTACCGCCCCCTCCCTCCTGAGCACAGTGCAGAATCGGGGTAATTGCTGTCTTTCTAGCGAGCTCATCCCTCTCATAGACGTTCTGGGGTTTATTAAGGCAACATTATCTCATTGTTTTTATCACAGGCTCCATCTCATCATGGGAATTTTATCTCCCCTTCTCCTGTCCTGCTGCATTGAAGAGATGTCTCCCCGGTTGGGTGGGGAAACCAGAGCAGCAAGGAGGGGGAGAAGGTGGGCTTCTAGCCCCAGCAGTAGCTATCAGAGACAGAGAGAGGTGGGGAGGAGGTGACAGGCTGCTGGGATGGACAAGGGTAATGGGAATTATCAGGGGACACTTGGGTCCTTGCTGGACACTAGGGCAGGCAATGACAGTAGCCTTACCAAGGAAAGTCCACAGGAGAAGGACAGGCTGTAGTGAGAACGTAGAGGGGCCTTCCACACTGGGCAGAGGGCCTGGGCTGGGCTGTTGCCCTGGGGGATGGGTAGAGGCTGCCAGGCATTCCATAGGCACTGAAGAGTGGGTTTGCTGAGGAAACAGGCTTGGGATCCCCAGGCTGGATATGGGTCGCTGGTAACACAGGCAGGGCCGAGGTGGGGGTGTCAACGGGGCCTCACATGCCTCCATTGCTAAGTGCTCTAGGTTGTTAGCTCACCTGTGTGCCACCCCATCCTCTCTTCTGCCCAAAAGTACCAGGCTTCCCCAGCCTGAGGGAGGGGGAGGGTATGCCCCATATTCCAGTGCCCTCCTCCCACTTCCTGCCACCCCTACAGACTGCCACCCCAGCTTCCTACTTAGAGGATGACTGAGAAGTGGAGAGGCTGGATCCACGAGGTGGTCTCGGCTGCACAGGGCATGAATCCCAGGGGTGCCTCAAGTCCCCCAGGGCAGTCTGGGGGGAGGCAGTGGACTGGGCTGGGTGGGCCCAATGCCCTCCCCCATCCCCATCCCCACTCCCACTCCCACTCACCCCCACCCCCAGGTCTCAGGTTTCCCACGCTGTGTCCGACGCAGAAGAAACCAGACAGACACACCATCTAAGCCCTTGGTTGTTGTTTATTTTTCAATAAACAGGTTTTTTGCATGTCTGGTAGTCAACGGGAAACCTAGGAATAGCGTCAAATGACATTAGGCAATGGGGTATTGCGTTTTAGTACATTTCGGCAGAGAGCCAGTGATGAAGACTTCTGCATCCCGGAGTCCGAATTAAAGGGGCATGTCATCGACAACTATCTTCGAATTTCACCGTTTTGAATCGTAAACTACATACCATTCCACGCACACCGGGGTGTGAATGGGCAGCCAAGGACCCGAACACTCTCAGCAGAATAGGCCTGACCCACACGAGGTGGGAAGAACCACTTCTGCATGGCGGGAAGACCGAGGCGAGGCTGTAACGCTGCTCAGTTCACAGGAGGGTGCGTGGGTGTGGGCACTGTTGAATTTGGGGTGAGGGGAGGGCTTCATTGGTTGGTGGTGGGAAGAGAGTTTGTCTGATGAGAAGAGGAGGTGACCTGTCCTACAGGAGGCGTCTGACCACCGACTGCCACAGCGTGGCCCAGACGGGCTCCCTTGTCCTGAGCATCCCGCTGCTGGGCTGCGCACAAGCCCCCGCACGCTGCAGGTGTGCGGAGAGGCTTTTGGATATGGATGGGTGAACCAGTGATGGAGGTGGAGGATGGGGAGAGGGAGGGAGGGAGCATCGTGGGACCTGTTGATTTGTCACCAGCAGGGAGATCGGACTCAAGCCGAGAGAATTTGGTCATTTCATCCAATTGGAGCATTTAGACTCTGGGGAAACTGAGGACAGAAACGTTAACGAACTCGGCCAAGGACTCACGCTGAGAGAGGCCAGGCGGGGTGCCAGACGCCCGCCCGACACAAGCCAACAGTTCCCATTTTTTTTGTCTTTTTAAAGTTTTTGTTTCTTAAATCAAAGTTAAAATTCAATGAGATGATGACCAGGAGCGGGATGGGGGTGGGGACCTTGGGGTGAGGTGATCAGAGGCGGAAGGTGAGAACCGGTGGCTCGGAGCCTTCAGGGGGGGTCTGTAGAGGGATGCGTGGGGCCAGGAGTTGGCAGTGGGCGGATGGTCTGGGTGGGAAGTGGCCTGGCTGCGACGTGAAAATGGCAGGCTTTGAAGTCAGGGCTTTGTGAGGAGTAGGGGAAGGGCCAGAGGGGGCGGTCTTGGGGACACAAGGCTGGAACAGGGACTCCATGGAAAGACTGGGGGAGGGGGCTGGGGATTGGATCGTGACTGGGGCTGGTGGAGTGGGGGGGTGTCATCAGGGACGTGGTGATGAGGGTGGGGAGGGCCTTAGGGGAGGGTGGGGCTATGACAAGGAACAAGGGAGACCAGGGGCTTCTTCGAGGAGCAGATGGGGTAGGGTGGGGTGGGTGGGCTTTGGGGTGGGAAGGCGGGGACTTGGCGTGGGTGGGCTTTGGGGTGGGAAGGCGGGGACTTAGGGTCAGTGGGTCCAGGGGCTTCCGAATAATGGAATCAATGGCTGAGTTATGACGGCGATCGGTGACTGATGGATGAGGCGGCGGTGATGTGTGTGGTGGGTGACGGTGATTCAAATGACTGAGATGGTGATAATGGCGACTCAGATATCAATATTTGGAGCAAGGTAAATGCAGCAGGTAATACTCAATAAAGCTAAGGCTAGTTTCTTATCCAAATAATTTAAGAAGCAAAAATACTCCTAACTGGTACCTAAAGGCTGTTTAGCTGCGGGACCCCTAAGGGCCTGGAGCCAAACAGGGCTCTGACCCGTACCCTTCAAGTTTTGCAAAAAAGATAGACTCTTTCTCTAAGAAAAATAAATAAGTTAAATCTATAATTCAGAAGCTGGCTAGGTCTCTGGGGTAATTGGAGGGTTAATAGCTCAGCAACACAAATGTAAATCCACCAGTAGGTAGCTTACATCTTGACCACACTCACTACAAAACAGGGGCACACCCCACAAGTCACAAACTTCCACTCGAGCCCCATGGGAAGCCTTGGGGGACGGGTGGGGGCGGGGGGATGCCTGGGCTGCTGCTCAGACTGTCCCGCGGCACTCAACGGTTCAAAGTGCATTGCAATTTGGAGAGAACTCACTAATCTATAGGGTGGGGAAGATGGGGAGCGCTAACGTAGCAACCCCACATCGCACACTGCAGACTCCGAGAGAACCAAGGGGTCTCCCTCACTTCTGAGCGGGGGCAGAACCTGAGGCTGCCCATGCTAAGAAGCACCTTAGAACGAAATTCCACGTGTCAAGTGAATCTCCAGGATAGGCCAAAACCTTTCAGACCTCGGATGAGACCTGGTCTACATCTGGTCCTACTTTTTTTTTTTGGAGTTGGGAACCAATCGGGTTGTACCCTTCGTTCCTAATTTTGAAGGGAGAGCGGACCTCCATGGCTGCTGTCAAGCCCCTCCTGGAGAGGGCCGAGGAGGTGGGCCCGGGATGAAGTAGGGACTCACCACCCAAGGATCTCACAGCAGGTTAGAGTGGGAGGGCTGGGACTGGAGTCCCAGGCTGCCCCTCCCAGCAGCTAACGAACCAGACTGGGAGTTGGGGGGGTGCTCTCTCTGCCTAGCACACTGCCGCTGCACTCTGCAAAAGTCTCAAACCAATCAGAAAGGTGCACGGGAGGCATTGCTGGAGGAGTGGGTTGCGTGCGAGTCAGGTGTGGCGTGTGAGAATTAACGAACGAAAGAGACGTTAGCCCTTATCACAGTGATTGGTCGTGTACAGCACTCGTAGCGGTTTCACGAGGACCCCGTGGCCGAGGTCCCCCGAGGGGGACGTCGGCACCGAATCCCGGTTCTGTTGCCATGTTTTTTTCTAGTAAGGTTTTTTTGATTATTTTTTGTCACTTAACGTTTTAGAATAACATACTTATATCTTTACTTGGTTTAAAGATGAATTTCTTATTGTTTGTTTATATCGCATGCATTAAAGGGGAGAGAGAGAGAGCGAGCGAGCGAGCGAGCGCGTAAAGGGGGCTTCTGCCAGGCATTGCGTTTGGTCACACAGCCACACAAAGACAATATATGTAAGCGTAGCGTTCGCCAGATTCAACACAGAAGATAGCAAACTCCACCACAAAGATTAGGACAGACCGCATAGCGTGAGCTCGGCGGAACCCCGAGAATATAGAGGGGCCCGCGGGGATGCGGCTTAGATCTCCTCTTCTTCGCCGGCCTCCTCCTTGTTGAAGGTGGTCATGTCGATCTTCTCGGGGAAGATGATGTTGACGGCCAGCTCCTCCCCGCTGTTGTAGTGCAGCAGCAGGTTCTTCTTCTTGCGCAGCATGTGGTGGTAGCGCAGGTTGGACACCCAGGTCTCGCACTTGTTGATGAAGATCACGCCCACGGTGGCCAGCACCACCAGGCTGGTCAGCACGCCCAGGATGGTGAAGCAGATGGCCTGGCCCTCGGTGAACAGAGGTGGGCTCTTGTTGAGCTCCTTCATGGCCACCTTCAGGACGTGGTGTTCGGGCTGCTGCACTGGCAGCTCGTGCACCCCGGGGGTCAGGCGGTAGGTCAGCCCGTAGCCCGGGGGCACACGGGTGACCTGCTGGCTGCCCGGCCCCCGGCGCTTGGCGCAGGTGGGACCTGTGAACTCGGGCTTGCACAGACACTCGTAGCTCACCTGGCCATGCTGCAGGCAGGTGGCTCCGTTCTGGCAGGGGTTGCTGGCGCAGTTGGTCACCTGGCGGCTGCAGGTCTTGTCGATGAAGCCGGCCGGGCATCGGCAGCGGAAGTCGCCCCCGATGTCGGTGCAGACCCCATTGTGCTGGCACGGGTTGGGGGTGCAGCTGTTGGCCATAATCTCGCAGAAGATGCCTGAGAAGCCAGGGGGGCACAGGCAGGAGGCATGGGAGGCCCGGCCCTCATCGTCCACGCAGGTGCCTCCGTGCTGGCAGGGGGAACTGTAACACAATGGGACAGGTCACAGGCCCTCGGGGGCTGGGCTAGGACAGCAGGCGGGAGGGGCTCCTCACCCCCTCATGCTGCCAGCCAGGAACACCACCACCTGACCCCCCTCAACAGGGGGTCTAATTGCTTTCACTCCTGCATCGCTCCAACCTGGACAGATGGGGGAACTGAGGCTGGGGTAGGGTGCATGAATGACTGAATGATGGGGGGCGGGGGTGAGCGGGCTCACTCACCCCCGCCCCCTCCCCGCCACCCATCATGATCCCAATTC